CGTGCTTATGAAATTGAGAAAAATAGTGCTTTAATAGATAATGCTTTGCAATTAATTAAAATTGCAAAATCTCATAAGATTAATGGTGTGGAAGATTTATTAATAGATTTAGAAACTTTAAACGATCTTGTATATAATGTCTATTTAGAGGATATGTCATTAGACAAATTGGAGAAATTAAATAACATTGAGAGAATAAAACTCTTAATGAGTACATCAACAGAAATTAACTTTGTGGAAAATATAAAGAAATTTTTATTGCCTTTCATCAAACGAAGACATCAATATTTATATGTATGTATAATCATATTTTATGAATAATTAAAATTATGTATGTGTGTATGTGTATTCTATATGTGTACACACATATACATATATACACATATAAAGAATATTTTTTTAAATTGTAGGATAAAAATCTTGAAAAACATTTACTGAGTGACTATCTAATTTGCTTAAGCAAAGATGATTTAACATTACCAGTTAAGTTTTTCGAATATTTAAAACAGACACAGGATACTGAGATAATCGAAATGATAGATGATGTCACTACTTTAGCTTTAGATTGTATATATAGTTGTGACGATCTTGATATGTATGAAAAAGCTAAAAATATCTTAGATTCGATATCAAAAGATCATAATGCTACAAGGACAAAAGCAACGCATAATTTATTAGAAGAACTCGAAGAAGAACTTGATTGCATTAGATGTCTAAGCAAATATGGAGTAAAAACAACGTTAAAGTTCATACAAGAAAATAAAAATAATCCCGACATCGCAAGATCATTGTTAAATGAAATGGCAAAAAATTTTAGTAAAAGGTATGTAAAGCATAAAAACACATCAAATAAAGATTAGTTTTTTTTTTCTTTTTTAGAAAAATCTAAGCGAGATTATATGAATTTCGAATCATGTATATGCAAACATCTGCGCTTGCCGATTCGTACATAACTATTCTCCTAGAAAACATAATTTAAAAAAAATATCTTTATGATAATTATAGCAATTAAATAATATATTTATTATTTCAGTTTGCCACCTTCAGATGAAAATGAATGGGCGCAATTATTAAGCGATATGTTGGACATACATGGATCAATCTTTTCCTGTATTGCTATTGAAACTTGTTTTGAAATATGTGTCTCTGCCCGCTTAATTTCAAGAATCAAATCTACCATTCAAAATTGTGCCACCTTAATAGAAACCAAGAAAGATGAGAAATCTATGCTAAAAGTATCCTATGAGAAAGCAATTGATCTTATATTGGAAGCAACTAAAGAATATTTTAACAGTTCAAGAACACTTACTGATCCAAATATGGAATTGGCTAAGTAAGTATCTCACTAATGTACTAATGAATGAATGTTTGTGTATGTGAGCAAGTATTCATATACATACCATGTAAAATTATATAATTTATTTTTAAATATTATGTGTATATATATAAATAATTGTTACAGAACTTGCCTCCGTCTTATTAAAGATGACAATATAAAAATTAAAGAAGAATACAATCTAATTAAATCTCTTCAAATTTTAAATGAATTCAATGTTGATATATTACCTCTTCAAGTTAGATTAACAGTAGATAAGTTAAGTTTAATTGAACATTGTTTAAATAATCAAAGGGATGCTTATAAAAGTCGACAGAGATTGTTGACATTAGCAACCTATTTACGAATTGAAGGGAATAACAATAAACTTCGTGAAGGAAAGGTTTTAGAACTAATAGCCAAAAAAGCATTTGAGGTAAAATATTCATCTTTTCTACAAACAAATGCGTGTATATATATATATATATATATATATATATATATAATACTGATTGAAAATTTTATATATATATATTTATATATAAAATTTTCAATCAGTATTTTTGAAGATGGAAACAAAAATTGATAATATATCATCATTTTTTGCTCTATAGATTGAAGATTATAATACTTGTGCTACAATATGTACACAATTAACGCAACAGAATTATCTTCCTATTTGGAAAATTTGTTTAAATTTGGGATGTTGTAATAATTATCAAGATTTGAAGATTAAACAAAAGTATTTATGGTTTGCGATAAATAATGGTCCTGGCGACATATTGGGTAATGCTTTAGAGCACGTGCATTTGATTGAAATACAAATGTTACATAAAAATTTGGAATTGTGGATGCCATCTGCCGAATTTGAAGGTTCTAAAGATGAAGAAAGTGATGACAGCGAAGATGATTTTACAGATGCTATGACAACGGTAAAAAATTTTTGTTTAATGCAATGCCAAATATTTTTTTTAAACTTCAAGATAACATAACATTATTATAATTTATAATTATTTATTTATTATCATTTTTAGCCACAAGTAGAAGTGAAAGAGTTTGTTCCAAAAGTGTTGGAAACTTCAACAGAAATTGTAAAAAGTTCTGCTAATATTGTAAAAAACTCTACATTTGGCCTGTTAAAAAATATAAGTGATACCAATTTTTGGAAATCTAGACTGAACTTTAACTTTAGAAATAACTTAGGAAATAATCTGCAATATGAAATTGAGGGTGAACAAAACACGGAAAATGCAAATCTCCAAACTTTTCCATGTTTTTATGAGTCCTTGCATGAAATGTGTAAGACAAGTATTATTGAAACAAGATATAACAAATATTCTATGGTAGATATACAAAATACAAAATTGAAATGTTGTCGGGCGCTTTTGAGAATAACCATGTTGAGTGAATCTTCTTGTTATGGATTAGAAGTAAGCGACATTAATCATTGTAAGTATCACATTGTTATAAGAATATATATATATTATATGATAGAAATTTTAAATTGTAAACACTAATTATGTTTATCTATAGCAAAAGAGTTATATAAGAGATTATTTTATTAATTTCAGTGCTTTTGGAATGTGCAAAACATACTATAGCAGATGATTGGTTGCTTGGCATGATGTATTTATTAAATTTAAATAGAGATCACATTTTGGATGCTCAAGAAGTCTTTGTAACTTTACCACAAACTGAATTGTATATACAAACAGCCCTTTATTATTATTCATTAGAATTGTATAAGAAATTGTATACTAATTATGAGAAATTATATTTATATAAACCACTAGATCTAATCAGAAATATGATAGTTGTGGCACAAAATTCTGAAGAATGCGATATTGTTAAAGCATTACGATATTGGCAAAATTTAACCAGTGGAGCACAAAATATTAACATGGAGCAAACGAAAGTAAAAGATATAACTACATTAGAAACAAAACAAGATAGCACTTGTATATATTCTGAAGAAACTATGCAAAAAACAGCAAAACTCGAAAATGAAGAACAAGAATCTCTAAAACAAATCGATGTTAATAATCCAAACTCTGAAAGTGAAAATTTAAAACCTACTATTTCAGATAATAAAATTGATATCGAAGAATGGACAGATGATTGGGGTGATTTTTCTGATGATAGCACAGAAGCAACTATTGATGAGCAGGATAAAATTAGATCGCAAGAAGAAATTATTACTCCAATTGATCACGCCATTACTAAATGTGTAACAGAAGAAGATCGATTTAGATTATTTCAAAAACTGTTTAATCAAATTAACAATTTAGAGCAATATCAGGAATTAAAAGAAATTGTACTGCACTGGCCGCGATTTAGTATGCCAGAACATATTACATTGGACGATCATCCGATTTTAAAAATGATGAAAATTATAATTACATTGATTACAAAAGTAGATACCATTAATTTTGAAAAAAAGATATTACAAGAGTTTAAAGAACTCATTGGATTATTAGTACCTAAGGAGGTATATTCTAATGCAATTATTTTTTCTTTTACATTTTTTCTATACTTTCTTTTTATAATCCAATGTATTATTTATTTAAATGTTTGTGATACAGATTCTCAAGCAGTTCTTGGAGGTCGAACGAGATCACGTTAGTTTTGTACAAAGTCTTTATATAAGATTATGTTCCGAAGATGCATTTATGCACAAAGAAGCGGTAGACCTCATTAAACAACAACAGGTCAGCTTATTATATATGTAAATAGTTAAGCCTCTGAATTGATAGTAATGATTTATTTTATTTCTTTTAGGCTGTTGTTTTACCACCATTAATACTGGAGAAACTTTTCTTAAATGATTTAACTGTATTATTTAGCCCAGATCACATTGTATATAATCAGATAATCGAACATGTCTTTATAAATGAATCTTTAACTGATATTGAGAAAAATGCAAAAATACTTATACACGAATTGAGGGAACGAAAATTTATACTGGAGGCTTTAAATATCATAAGATTAATGGAGAAAATACCATCAGCCTTGTGTACATTTGACTCTTGTTTTGAGTTATTAATGAAGAAGTGAATTTATTCCAAATGTATAAAAAAAGAGCTGTGATGCATTTTTTGGATATAAGAAGAAAAGTTACATTTAGAGGTATTTGTGTATTATAAATAATCTTGTTTTAAAAAGATTATATTTATAAAAAACATATATATATAGAATTTAAAATTGCTTTCTTAATATAATCTTGTTTTAAAAAGATTATATTTATAAAAAACATATATATATAGAATTTAAAATTGCTTTACTTATAAATTTAATATATTTTATCGAGAATATATAAAAGATTAGACAAAATAATTTTTAAACTTTCCTTTTGCCATATGCAATAAAGCTCTTTTCTCTGACTATGTATATTTTAAAAGACTTATGTTTCTTTTATATATATATAGGATTACAGAGAGAAAAAAAATGATATAATATGAAAAGGAATTAGTTGTACATATAAATTTGTTGTAAGGAATATAAAAGTGAATTTGATATTATTTTATAAATCTTATCTAACTTGCAATATCCTTATCTCAATATCCTTACTGATTATATCGATATCTTATTAATCTCTTATTCATATCGATATCTTAATCCCTTTACGAAAGAACGCTAGTGAGTCTGGTCAGTGTTTCTCAACTCAAATAATTCATTCAATTCAGCGAACATCTCTCAAGTTAGTAGATCAGATAAATTTACGTGCGTTGCACATATCTCCGTGGATTTTATCAGAGTCTTGATAAAACTATATCTTAGTCATTGTGATATAGAACCATGTCGTGTTACTCGACCAATTACTGTTAATATAAATATCATTGTGCGTTTGTACCCTTCCTTTGTGCTGAATGTCAATGATGATTGGAGCGTGGATTACACTCGCTCCACATACGATCACTGGTTTAACTTGGTAAACTGCTCGGTCTGTCTGAGAACTTAGTGTGTCGTTTCCTTTGACCGTATCAACACACGTCTGAAGGGTAAGTGATATATTTATATACGTATTTTGCAGATATTTCTGTTTATTTTATTATTTAAAAGAAATATACGTTATCTCTCTGTATGTGTGTGTGAGATATAATAAAATTTTCAAGTAATAATGCTTTCTAAATGAAAAATTACAAAGAGGTGTTTTTTTAATTTGAATGTTTAAAAGTATAATGACATAAGTTTATCTATAATTTTAAGTTAATTAACTTTCTTTAAATAAATTATCTTAATTCTTTGAATTATAATTATCTAAATTATTTTATCCAGCTCTTATTAATGAAAATTAAATCTTTGAGATAATAAAAATATAAATAACCCAGCAAACACCAAGTAACAGTTATATAACTGTTAGTTGTAATTTTCCACTCAACAATATAACAGTTACATAACAGATATGTTATGTAATTGTTATATTGTTGAGTGGGAAATTACAACTAACAGTTATATAAATGTTACTTGGTGTTTGCTGGGAAAATATAATAATATAATCTAAATATTGTTTACGTACAAAATTTAACTATTAAGTTAAAACAACTAATAATGACATTGTCATTTTGCAATAATATCAGTTTCTACCTATAACGTTAATAGATTGCAATTTATTTGCTGTTCTGTGTTTGAGATGATTTTTAATGCAATTAAATAATATAATTTATTCTTAATTTACACATCAATATATTAAATATTACAATCATTATTTTTCTGTGCAGTTTGACGATTTATCACCCAAAGAATAAAGAAGATATCGTAGCCGAACCTTTGCACTCAACGTTCTCTTCGCAGAGGATATATATATATATACATTTCTTCCTTTCTCATCGACCGGCTTCCCCCCTTAATAACTCGCGGCTATTTTTGTTCCGCGTGCATCGCAGAAACATGGAGTACAATGACACCCTACTCATACCGGGTCAACGGATACGTCCGCTCGTGACCGAGAAGATGGCGATCGACTTGTTGAAGCAACTCTACGACTTGAGGGCGACGAACGTGCGCGAACTGGATGCTTATGACGACCGTAATTATCACATGCTGTGCGACGAAATGCATACGAATCCACATATTACCAACTTGGAAAAAGCTGGCTATGTCCTCAAGGTGATCAACTCCTTGGATTCCCGAAAGACCGACATGCTCGAGGCACAGAACGAATTGCTAATTTTTCTCAATCAGCATAATATCTGCTGTCCGTTCCCAATCAAGAATGTTAGCGGTACCTACTTTTCTCTCGAGAATCTAAAGAGCCACAACACCATGGAGAAATACGCCGTGAGATTAATGATCTATCGTCCCGGTGAACTTCTATGCAACGTGAAGATGACTGATAAACTATTGTATAAGGTCGGAAACTTGGCCGCCAAGATTGATGAGATCCTCGTGGGTTTCAATCATCCCGCCTATGATAATCACAAGACATTGTGGATGTTGACTTCACTGCCTCGAATCCAACAATTCACATACGCAATCAAGAGTTCACTGGATAAGCAACTGGTGCATGATGTGATCGTCACCTTCCAGAAAGAAGTTCTGCCGATCATGGACAGATTGGAGCAAGGGATCATACATGGTGATCTGAACGAGCATAACATTATCATGAGTCCCGATGGCGAGAACATTGCCGCCGTGATCGATTTCGGAGACTGTCATAGAACTTGTCGCATTTTCGAGTTGGCTATAACTCTCTGTTACATGATCCTGCAAACTTCTAACGTAGAAATGGGCAGACACGTTGTAGAAGGCTATGAGAAGATCAAAAAATTGACTGATATAGAAAAGAAAATTCTTAAGATTAGCGTATGCGCCAGGATATCTCAGAGTTTGATAATGGGCGCTTACTCACATTTACACGAGCCCGAAAATCAATATTTGTTAGTCACACAGAAAACTGGATGGACGTTGTTGAAGAGATTGTGGCCTATGAGCCAAAATGATGTGATGCAAGCTTGGGGATTGATCATTCCTTAAACGTGGTATGGAAGTGATACCGATCTTTTTGATTAATTAAGTAATATAATAGAAATTGTAACGCTTATTCACATTTTTGTATAAATGTTTTAATTCATTTAATTCTAGACTTTTAGACAACTTTTTAAACAACATTTCTATAACGAATGATTGGAAATTATTTGAGAGATAAAATTATAATTATTAGTATGTAGATTTTAATAGGATCAAAATAATATAAATATATAAATTTAATATATGCATAAATAGATAAAATTTAATATCATTGGAAATTTATATTATTAAATTTATATTATTAAATTTATATATTATTAATATTACAACATTAATATTACAATATTAATATTATAATATTAATATTACAATATTAATATTTAACATAACATTTAATATATCTTTATTAAATAATCTTTTGACACGGTATCAACGTAAAACCTTAATTAATATTTTTAATTCTTTTTTCAATTCTGTTTTATAATTTATTTATAAATAATATGTCTCAAAAATATAATGTAATTTAATTTGTTTTTTTGTTTTGTTATTTGATATCTTATTGCTTAACATAGTAAAAAAAAAGAATGATGAATTTATAAAATCTACTCTCTCATTTTTTAAAATTATGTTTTATATTATATTTGCAGATGTAAAAATTCCGAAAAATTACCGTTCTTAAAAAAACAAGAGCAATAAACTTTTTAAATTTCTATGAACAAGAATACATAAGATATATGATTCTCAAAAACATCGGCAAGAAAACTTGTATATATATTATTTTATTAATTCTTTTAACAATGCTTTTGTGAACAATGGCTATTTTATAGAATTGTTGCAAATTCCCATCACCGACGATATACATACTGTATTTATGCAAAATACAATAATATACTTTTTTAATATAGATTCTTGATATTATATACTTATTTGCAGGAAATATTTATTCTCGGTAATTTGATTTTATTAAAATACTTACTTTAATGATGCTCGGAGGTACGGTCGCGCGGAGTTTACTTGATGAAACTGTCATGTCTTCACACTATCAACGCGATATTTCGTATTTATCACATATTACGACGTTCGACCGACACTTTTCTCAACATTCCCGATACTTGCTTGCTTGCAAAAGCGATATTTATTCTTAATAACTTAAAATCATAATAGACGTAATGAGACAAGTGATTGTTAATTTCGTGATATCTTACATGCGCGTAATATAATTATAATCATTACAGTATTAATCACAACGATCGGTTAAGTCTTTCTTTCGTTTTTTCGGATACTTATAATGGACGATCGCGATTAAATTTGCTTTACACATTGCTTTACCATGTTTTGATTAAACACGGAAATTCAACGTTATAAAAAAATGGACGATCGCGGTACAACACACCATGCGCGCGCGGAGATATCTGAACCATTTGAACATTGCTGAAGATCGCGGGTTCTATTAGCCATAGACATACATGTATATAGATGCGCTGCCATTGCGAGCACAAAGATAACATTAAGAATAAAATAATAATAAAGATAATAATTAAAAGCTTTATTCGAGTCTCTCTTAACTTTTCTTGACTAGGGGAAAATGTTTATTTTGTCTCTATTATTTTTTTCTTATTAAATATCTAAATAAACATTTTTTTTATATGAGAGTGCGTCCATCTATATAAATCTATATTCACAGACATATTCAATTTGAATGTATACATTTGAAATTTCGAAATCAGACTAATTCAGATTAGTTCTAGAATCGGAAATGAAGAAGTTTGTATAATTCTTGTGCGCGTGTTGATCATTTCTAGTGTCGTGTAATGGAAATTTAATTGTGGAGTATCGCGATTATAGAAAAACGAAGTCAATTAAATAATAATACCGTGATTGCTATAGTCAATTATAATATAGTATAATATTATTGTTACAAAGATAATTTTTATCATGTCCTCACGAATGACTGCGAATAAATACTGTGTGCAAATAATTACATAATATCGGGAGTACTGAAAAAATATCAAGCATTTAATATCTCATGTGCATAAATACAGTTATCGAGTTGATAGTGTGAATGTACAATAGTTGTGTCAAATAAACTTTGCGAGATTTTCTAAAATTCCAATTATATTTAATATATTCCAGAAATCATATATTGCCCGTAAATATAAATGTGCAGGCATCGAGAGTGTCGAAAAAATATCAGCAATATGGAAAAAAGTATAAAACTATCGTTTATTATGATAATAAATAAATGATTATGTATATATGTATATAAATGATTTATATCGTATCAATGGTGCGACAGATTCATCAAGTGAACTCCGCGCGACCGTAGTTGCAGTCCGTGTGCGTACTAATGTATTAATAAAATTATTGAGAGACTTAGTTTCCTAGAATAAATGCCTGCAAGTAAAATGTATTATCGAGAGTATCAAGAAAACTACCGAGAATAAAAGAAATGTGTCGTATTCTGCACATCGATTATACATATCAATGGCGAAAACGTGCGTACAACATCTGGTGAGTAAATTTTACAGTTCCAAGCATTATTAAGATGTTTTAATATAAAGATCCTTTTTGTATCCTTTTGTATTAATAAAGATTTGTTACTTTATTGTTTAAAGGATACATTTAGCTTCTGTTTTAAAATTTATAGTAAATGTACATATAATTATTATATTCAAGCAACTTCAGTTTTTATATTTTAAAAACATATTTTCAAAAAGTAATGCTTATACATTTGCCCAAAGAAATTTTGGAAAAAAATTATTGTATTGTAAACAATTTTCCTGAAAAATTACAATTTCATGGTTATATTTTTATTTATACTGATATTAACATATGTTTTATACTTATGCTTGAATATTCAAAATATACTAATATTGTTGAAAATAATAATGAATTATGAAAACAATAAATCTCTACATTTTTAATCATATATAATAATATATAAGATATTTTAAACCAATAATAGAGTAGAATTTTAAAAAGAGATATGTGCATATTTTTAATAATAAAAGAGCTTATTAAATTCTTCACTTTTTAAAAATATTCTATACAATTCTAGCAATCGAGTATTAAATTCTAATCAATGATGTGAATGATTTTTTAATATAATAGAATTTTAAAAAGATATATGTGCATATTTTTAATAATAAAAAAATGTGCATATATTCTATAATAAAAAACTTATTAAATTCTCCACTTTCTAATATTCTATACAATTCTACCAATCGAATATTAAATTCTAATCATGTGAATAATTTTATAAAAAGATTGTAATATATACATATGTGTATTTATAAATTTGAAATTGAAATCTCTAAATAAGTTATAAGAAAAACTGCAGTATTATGTGCAGTGATATATTCTCTTGTTTTATTCGCATTTAGGCAGTTACATATTTACATAAATATCATGAACAGTAATGCTTAGGTACAATACTAAGTGTGGAGCCATTTTACATACCTACAGTGTGATATATACAAAAATTTATGTTGGAACTTCATTGTCCTTTTAAGAGTTGTGTCATTACATTAATTAACTGGAAAATAAGTTATCTTTTTGAGTGATATATCGATCAATAATAATAATGGAATTGTATTGCCATAAGATAAATATTATTTAATTGTTTACTAAAACATGACAGTGGTATACATGGCAAGTTGATGGCAGTTTACACATATTGCCAGCCATAATCGTATAATAAGATGTATTAAAAGTCGTGTATTATCTCTCAATTATATGAGGAATGCATGGTTAAGAGAAATATTTCAGCTTCTGTTCCATCCAATGTATTCAAACTTCTTCACTGTATATTTTAGTTTCATTTATATACTAACATATAAAGTCGTATTCACATATGCGTGCATTTCGGTAATTTATATGTGTAGCTCATAATATATCTTTTATCTCTTCTTCTCTTGATTTTAATTTATATATTTTATTCTAATTTATTTTATTTTATTTACGTCAGCTCGTTTTGGCAAACTGCTTAGCTGTGTCGAGGCAAATTCGTTGATAGCGAAAATCTGTTCACAATCTTATCAAAAATCATATTAGTATATAGATATCCAATTCATACTCTGCTTCTATCGAGTTATAAATTTTATCGATAAATTCTACAAATAAATACGCGATAAAATGAATACTCATAATTACAATAACGTCTAGATTGAAGTGATTCGAAATATAACGATAAAGTCGAGTTCTTTAACCAAGAACGAAATGTCATGTTCACGAATTTTCGCCAGAGGTTATTAACAAAATATTATATTACAATACTTATATATTTTTTATTGCTCTTAGGATCTATTGGCTTAAGAGATCGCCCGATGGGACGTTTATAGGCGCATAATAATTCAATTATAACTTATATTTTTAAATAACATTTTTACATCTTACATCCGTAATAATTTAACGGAATCTACAAACATAAAGAGAGATAATACATTGATATATGTGTTTATAAAGAGCGGAAATATATTCCTTGATTTATAGTGGAATGTAAAATGATTTTCTTTGGGACAACGAGATTATGTTTACATTAATGTCCAAAATAATGATACGCAAAGAGACAAACATCTTTCAGTCTTAAAGGATTGATTTTTCTCCGCTTTAGAGATAAATAAAATCGATTATATTCATCATGGAGAAGATATGTAAAAGATAAACAACAAGAAGGAATCTTTCTAATGTTTTGCGACACAAAATAAATGCGTGCTTTTTTCAAATTCTTAGTGTTTTATTACAATTTAAATATAATTCTGCTTAAAGCCATCTTCCGTTCGATTTAAAGCACCAACATTGATAACATTTAATAACGTATTGTTTTCAATAGTATATCGCAATGTTCTTTTCAGCACATAGCAAATAAGTTTCTACTACCCTCATTTTCTCATCAAACTATAACAATATAATGTTCTCATCTCTCTTGGACGAATACTAGATTTTCATTTTCTTTTCTGTCTCTTTTTTTTTTTATCAAGGACAAAGTGAGCGTGCACAATTATAAAGAATCGCTCAAAACTATGTGACATACGTTAGAAAATTATGATTTAATTAGTTAGAAACTGTGTTAAGATTGGCGGGTTTTTTTTTTCTTTATTACACGAGGAACATTCGAGGCAAGGAGGTGAATGAGTTCTCGCGACGATACGACGAGGAAACTATTACAGCGAAGTAGTTTTGGTCAACTTCTTTCTTGGATATTCTTTATCTATATAAATCAGACATCATAATAACTGTGCAATATTATTCCACAGTGATACGCGCGTTCCCTTCATGTGCGTTACATAATTTACTAACAGGCATCCCGGGTGCGTTTACATATGTCAGGTAATTGTTCGACTAATCACGATTTGCATTCTCTGTCTCACGCGCACTGTTTCGTTATCGCTCATTTTGTCACAATGAGTCATTTACTATCAATTTTTCTCGGGTTCTTAGCGACATGATGCGCAACACTGTTTCTTGTATAACGGCACCTTGCACATGTTCATTATTTTCACTCTGCTGCACAATTGCGAATGGTCCTTGCAATCTTCTGCGAATATTATGAACGAAATAATATTATCGTTAATCATAATATCATTAATCAATTCTACATTATTAAAGAATTGAGAAGAAATTAATATTAGCATATCAATAATTACCATAATTAGATTAGAATATAGAGTTAAAAATCTTAAGAATTGATACATCTCTTAGAAAAAAATCTCTTACCGGGAGATTGAGGACAAGGCGGACCTCTGCACGTTTTCATTACAGGAGGTCGTGGTATATCTCTACAAGCGTTTCCCGCTGGTTTTTTTGTGCCAAACCAGACACATTGTAGAATTCTATATTTAATACCATCTTCTTCGCAAGACGCAGTACACTATGCAATATTAGATAATGTTATTAGCATCGCTATTAGCGCATTAAATTTTTGATCTCATTTACCTCAGTCCATTCGCCGACTCTCCAGACGCCTTTGCAAGCATCATTGTAACATTCCTGTCTTTGTAACGGCCTCGTGGCTTCGTCGCACTTGCTCGGATCCAACAACGTGACATTCTTTTGACCGTCCTCTTCCGTATCGTCCGCTAATAAGCGACAGCTAACGTCTCGTTTCTGCATCGCCGTTTTCCAATTAAAGCACCTCGACGTTTCACACGGAGTCCAATCCGTGGCGTACCATTGTGGACACCTGCCCGTTCCGCAAGGTCTCACCTTCTGGGGTACGGGATGTCCGGCATCCTCGCATAACTTTTGACCGATAACAGTTCCTGGTGAAATATGCTTGGAATCGCCGTCCAATCTCATTGATCGTACTGTACACTGTGCACCTCGCATCTGTGAAAATAAACGTCTCGTAATAAGTAATTTTTCGCTATTATAATGTGAGATTATTTTTTTTAATACATTGCTTATATGAATTGATTTTGATAAAATTTATAGTAATATTATGTAAAGGAAAAAAAAATAAATAAAATGAATAAATATATGTATACATTTATAATATATATTATCAAGAGTATTTTAATGTTTTTCAAATATAACTTATCTTCAAATATTTCTTACACAATTATTTAATGACGATATTAACTAGACGATATTAACAAGTCTTTTTTAATAAACTTAAAGAATAATAAGTTTTCCAATTAAAATTAATCACAATCTTACCTGTTAATCATGGAAGTTAATCACGGAAAAACACTCTTACCTGGAATCCGCTTCCTCCGCAAGTTTGAGAACATTTTGACCAGTCAGTCGTGACCCATTCGTACACCAGAACATTGTCCGTAGCTGCATTATAAGTCCTTCGTTTAATTATTGAACCACTTAACCATCATCAAGGCAATATAACTCATCAAATCAAGAGTCTTACCTAATGCAGCGAGTGCTTCCACAGCAGGATCCTGTGTTGTATTATCTTCTTTCATTATAGCGGAGGTCAAAATGTTTGCGGTCTTATCTTCATCAGCCGGACGTTGTTTTTCTACAGAGGTCTCTTTTAGATTAATTAAGGAAATCTTCTCTATAGAACCAACATGATCCTCTCGATTGCGAGATAAGTTTTTTGCATCATCGTCAGGATTCTCCCCAACAACACTCAACCTCCAATCATCTATCGATCGGTCATCCTTTGCTCTATTTTCCAAATTTTTAGGCGAAATTCGTACGATTGTATAATCTGTATGATTCTCCACGTACGGTTCGATTTTTCGCTTATCTAACTCCTCTTCAAATGCATCACTATATTCAATTGTCCTGTTTGCATGATTTGAACTATGGCGGTCTGATTCCGGTATTCTCAATTGGTCCTCGAGACTTTTAGATATTATTGTCGACGTGATGATCGATGAATCTTTAGTTCTCAAGTTTCCATAGGCGTCATGATTGATGGACTTCTCACTATCGTCAGCGAAACTGCTCCCCTCCCTGAACATTTCCTTTCTCGTGTTGGACTCTTCGACGTAATACACGTCCATCCCACTATTTCGCGGAGACGTGACGGACTCAGTCATAACTCTGCTCTGAACGTGACTTTTGGGCGTGGTACTCCATTGATCTCTGTACTCGTTTCGCGATTCCTGCCACTGCCGTTTCACATTTTTTAGCGACTCCTCGATATAATCAATATCAGATTTCGTATTAACCTCGGCATCCACTTTCTCCATTACACGGGACGTTGACTTGACGCCATCGCTATTTTGTAACCCGAATATAGATTCGTTCAGGTCGTAGGGATCGACGTCGATAAATATCCGCTCCTCATCTGGACCAAAGGTCTCGTCGGGAATAGCTGTGTGACGATACAGACTGTCAAAGTTATCTTCAAGATTTTGATACGCGGAGTCGGTCTTCTTATTAGACATATTGTGCTTTGTCGCCGCTGATCTTTGATGTTCATCTCCGAATGACGTGGCCTTGTGATTATTACTCGTGGCTATTTCGCTGCGAAACGGCCAATAGGCCTGTCATAAAGCGCGTTAATATCGAACAATAAATTTGACAGAAAGTAGCGAATGTTGAAAGAGTAAAACGTTGAAAATTTATTATGTAGCGATAGAAATACAAGATACAAATAAATAGACGCGTGTCACATGTTTATCAAATTTGCTCGAATTTTTTAACATCTTACCTTCAAGCTCGATATCAAGTAGCTCAAGTGTGGCACAAGAGCAGAAGCACTTGACGGAGCGGGTGATTCCACAGACTCATGATATCCCGGCTGATTGATAGTCAAATATCGAATAGTCGACATCAAGGAAAGTTAGTCCACGAGTGCAAAGCAAAGAATATAGAACCATCACCAGAAAGTTAATTTAACAAGTTTCATGCGTACGCGATTTGTTAAGCAATGTCAAGATACACGCAAAAAATTAACGTAATAAGAGACAATTTATGCTAATAGGATTCGTTTTTTCTTGATATACCTGATTGAAAGAGGTAACAGTGTGTTCTTTTTGCATCATTGTGGAATCTGAAGGAGCGGGACTGGTTTTCTGCTTTTTTTGCGGTTTTCTCGTTGGTTTGCTAGGAAACGCACGTTCATGACTGAGGTCCTCGCTATCAAAACGGTTTCTGTAAACCGCTACAAAAAAAGATCAATATTGTGCAACCAAGTCTATTATATTAATTATTTTCATCATTTTTAGAATTTATAATGTTGCAATTTTATTTACCTTTTCTTTTCTTTTCCAAAAAAGATATGACTTCAAACTTTTTGATTTCTTCAAAATAATATTTTGAGATAGGCAAAAGTATTTAAAGTATCGAGAAAATTTTTTATCGCTACTATTATTTGTATAAATGAGGCTATGTGTATAGATTTTAAGTAAAAAGTAATTTTTTATAAGTTTATATTTGTCTCACCTGCATGATCGGTGTAAGGATTTTCGCCCGAATTCACTGGTGCAGAATCCAGATTTGCGTTCCGTTGTAGGTGAACGGAATTGCCAAGTCGTAAATATTCCTCACTACTTATCTGTTCTTTGGAACGAAATTTCACTATCAACTGCGTTTCTGCGTGCGAATCTCCAGCTAGAAAATTACCATCGCATTTTTCATAATAATACATATATCGAAATCAATATAAAAGATAGTAGAATATGACAGGCAAGATAGATTGCTTACCAATACAGGCGTATGTTCCCGAATCCGAAGAAGCTATATCGATTATCTTTAAAGCTCCCTTCCTGCTAATCTTGTACTTTCTTGATTTTCGTATTTCTTTATTGTCTTTCGTCCATACAATCTGCGCTCTGATAACGTTATTATATTGCAGTTATTCCAAACGCATAAATATTATTCCAATAAAATCGCAAAGGTTACACTTACTTGTCGAACTTTCTGACAGGACAGCGAATCTTGATAGAAGGTGTCCCTTGAAAAATCTTGGCAATTCCGCCGATTTTTAAATCCACTTTCGCATTGATATCCGTTTGATTATACGTCGTGTTCAAGCTAGTGATTATTGGCAGCACACTTAAGTCTGAATCATGACAGGCTCTAGTATTGCAAGGTTTCTCGTTGGGTGGCTTCTGAGCTGGACACTCGCGTTCCTCACGACTCTGCTTGTGACCTTGCGCCATTATTTGCTCGCAGGCTACGTTTCGCCTCTTCACACCACCGCCGCACGTTTTTGAACACTAAAATTATCCCATTAATTCAAGTCGGAGAAGTTTAAAGAATTTTCAAATGCACTTTATACATATTGTTATAAATAAACATAAAACAAATATTAGATTGTAAATCTTAAAATTGCAATAATTTGATATGTATGATAACAAAATTCATTAGGAAAAATAATAAGAAATGAATAAAAATGATCGAAACATCCATACTATTTAAATTCTTCAATTTTCATGTATAATTACTTTGAAAGATCAGAGATTTTTCTTTTTGCAAAATTATGAATAGGTATTTTCGATCCTTAAATACTTCTAAAAATAAAATTATTGTTCGGCATATGAAGAGAATAATTTGCACTGCTATTCTGTATCATAACAAGGAATTTTTCCCTTTGTTAAATCTTTACGCAACATGTACAAATATGTACCTTGCCCCATTCCCCTGTGCTCCACTTGATGGGACAATCCCAGACATTGCAGTATCGTCTGTCGGCGGGCGGTGGTTGCGGACACATGTAATTTGGAACGGGTACTGCTTTGCCGGTGCCGTGTGTCACCTCGTGGATGCAGGTAACGTCACGTGTCTGTATACCAATACCGCAAGGGCTCATGCATGTAGAGAATTCGCTATAGTTCCACCTGCAGACGCAGATAATGACACATTTGTCAGAAAAGATAACGTGGAGATAAGTGGGTTGTATATACGTATATCACGACATAATTACACTTTTTGTCAACTACACATGTATAACAAGTCCCAAGTATATATAGTAATATACGTCGTGTGTCTAAAATATACATCATTCGAATATTTTAAATATTGTTATAAAGATGAGATAAGAAAATGAAGAGATCATAGAATGAGAAAAGAATCAACAAATAGCATCGTCGAAAGAGGCGAATTTTTTTTTTCTCTAAATTTTCTTCCTGATAATATTAACATACACGAGACAAGGATATTCATAAAACTGTAATATTACGTTCCTTTCGTTAAGAAAATTAAATATTTAATGAAAAAAGAAACTGTTTGTTACAAGCAAGAACGAAAGTTGATACGATAATCTAAGTTATCATGTTATCATAGCAGGATATCTCGAATTAAACAAGTATTATGTAACGCGAAGCACATCCTAACATTTAGGCATTAAATCGATATCTGCCAATCAATATTGGTTCCAATTACTTTACCTGGGTGGACACGGGTGATCATTACAAACTCGTATCCTTGCCTCCGGTTTCGTTTCTGCGGTGCATAGAAGCGGCATCACGGTTTTCCCTGTATCGTCACGCACGCAGTTTATAATAAGATCCTGAACACCTATAAAAGAGATGCATGTATATATAATCCGTAAACGCATAGAATCCGCCGTAAACTACAGATAATCCGCCCGGGCCGTACATTCGCCCCTTTGTATCGCGTTAGTCGACATAGACTAATCTTAATACGATTATACTTGAGCGCTGTTAATTGCACAATGACATCGATTTTGCCAGGCTATGTCGGTGAATTAAATTCGTTTCGCTAATCCTATTCAATGAACGATTCATGGCCAGCTTTACACAAACTGTGTAGTGCATTTCGATTATAAATATTGTATAAAAAAATAACAGAATATCGAAAGAACAAAAATATGATTAAATTTTACTAATTAAAAGAGATTAAGATGTATCTTATTTAATAAAAGTATGAAAATATACATGTTGAAGTCTAGTAAAAATATTTAAAAGCTACAAAACTTTAGAAAGAATCTTTATAAATATAAAATTGAATTTCACTTATTCAACCAGAATAAAAAAATTAAAAAAAAAATTAATAGTCCCTCTCTCTTTCTAAATTTTGTTCTCGTTTCATAATATAAGATCAACATATTTAAAGCAAGTTTCAAGAGAGTGAAAGCTACCTATCATTTAAAATCCATATGAGACGGATCGAATTTCAGTTCCGGACCACCCGGATAGTGATCTTTTATCCGTTCGATATATCATGGGTTATCACAGGCAATCTTGGTAAACAATAGTCGCGTGTTTATTACCTCCTAAGCAAGTGGCGCTGCAGGGGGTGTAACCAGATTCCTTCCACGAGTATGTAGTCTGTACATCGCTACCCGGGGCGACTTTGATACCGCTGTCGTAGCCACTTCCGACGGAACTACCCGACGATGATCTACTATACGTATCTGTCAAACTCGACTCGGCGTATCCGCTGTCGCCGATCGTGTCGATCCTGTAGGACAGACTGTTTTCCAGTAAGCTGCATGGTTCCATCGTGCACTTCTCCGTCTCGACGGGTTTCTGGCCGGAGCATTGGCTGTCGGGCAACTTGGCGATGGTTTGACTAAATTCGAGGAATATCTTGCAGAGTACCTCCCTATGCCTGATACCCTCGCCGCAGGTGACGCTGCAGGGGGACCATTCCTCGGCGACATACCTAAGGTCCAAAAATCTCACGATTGATCTCTGCCAGATTGGCATAACGTATAACATGACATAAAAAGACGCATTCGGCCGAAAACTCCGGTAACTGGGATTTTAGGTCACGGAAGGATGAAAAATGTGATGGGCGCGCAAGATTTGATAACCCACTTTCGCGAACGGGCTTAAGGGAGATTTAAAATGTATATATAAATTACTTTTTATTTGAGATATACGACTGTAGACAAATGTCTAACTTTTTTTACGAGAAGAGACAATCTTCAAATTTAATCGAGACAATAGATATTTGACATGCAGCTTACAAACATCTCACACACACATGTGCTCCGAATTAAAATATTTTATAACAATTTAACTCTGTTTTTATTTCAATGCGATAGTTGACATCATATTGGGAGTCACATAAACATTATATCATTAGATTTAATATACGTGAGTATGTTTATATTTGTAATGATATAAAGAGACGCAGTGGACATTTATTATATATATATATAACTGTAATCCTAGCAGGGATATCCAATAATACTCAGATTAAATAAAATATATTTGAATATATATTCATTCTTTTTTCATTAAGAACATTATGTTATAATGATATTATTTTAACACGATCTAAATTAATGTTGTATATATTGTATGCGAGAGAGATTTAATTAATAAAACTTTACTTCCATTACGTTATTTTTTCAATATCTTTATTTATTCAACAAATATTTCCAACGGAAATTAAATGAATATTGTTTCACACGTTTATTATATTTCTGCATTTATTTATTGTATATGTTTCTATTATATATTTCATATAATTCAATCAAAGCATTCTTATTGATTTGTGAGCGGATAATTTTTCATGTCAGTAAATAATTTGTTAGCCACAAATGCTTCCATTTTACTAATTTCAGAAAAAGGATTTCAATGTATATCGTTAACTGTATTATTTCACATCGATGTTTCCTGAGATTCGGAGCTACATTTCTCCTTTTTAATACGTCAAATTCCGTTAACTATATTTATTGACAATTATTTAAAATCAATTTCACTTGTTAAAGTAAAGCGAAACAAAAATTCTTTAGAAAACAATAAATTTTAAGTAATTAAATAATTTAAATGATTATAATTTTATTTAGGAAGGATTAGATATGCGCGATTACGCTAAAATTTTATCTTCACTTATACTCGTACAAAATATTAGATTTGTGACAGATGAAATCATTTTGATAACGGAAGGGTTAAATGACGCGTTATAGGTGCTAGAGCTACGAGGAAATTGTCAGATAATACCACACGGAGAGAAAGTTATAAACGCTGACTGAAGAGAATCTAGGTCCAACATCTTATGGAATTTCGCTACGGTGATAATAGTTGTTCTAAAGCTGCTGCCATTGTTCTCGAATTGCAATCGATGTTACATATTCCGCGAGGATTATAGTGAAACGGAAAGTTAGAATCGAAAATCTGATGAATTAATTGTTTGGAGACTTCGCGGAGATTATCTCTAAATTGAATCCATAAATAAATTCACCAAAATAGTTATTTATGTTTTTCGAATTTTATCGTGAAAAGAATAAAAATATATATTATTCATATCTTTCGAGATAAATTCAAAACATGCTCTTCAATTTCAAGTTTTTAAATAAATCTATTTATATTTTACGTATCGTATAAATTTAATAAATTTAAGACAAAAATTTAATGTGTTAATTTGGTTATAATTATACGTATATAGTTTTTTCGATTCGTTTTGCTCACAATTTTTTATTTCCGTTTGTTAGATTGACTTGTAATTAAATTATCTATACACGGCAATTGTTTAAAATGGAATGAAACTTAATAAGATTTAATGTCGATATATATTGCAAAGTACTCGACAGTTAGAAATATTGATGTATAAATATATATAGTATACATGTAGTGTATATATTCGAGAGGACTACTTACGTTGATTCGGAAGGTATCGGCTGGTCCATCAACTTCTCTGACATCGGGGATAACGGATACGGTTGCACCAGGGGCTGCGTCATACCGTCTCCATCTAAATAACATTTCGTATGCCGTCTCATTTTCTATGCATATTCCCTTTGCACACGATAACCACGTCTCCCGATATTTTTCTGGCTCGTCTGGGACTTTATTTCTAAAGTTTGTTCCGCACGATAAAGCCCGTCAAATCCTCAGTAGCAGTTTATAAATTGTCAAAACTTTGTTATTACTCGAGCAATAAACAACATGCTGTATTCGACCGACAACAATATTGTAAAACTTAATATGATTCGAAAAATACTTGTCGCTAATAAAAATATTTCTTTTTGCTTATCGCAATTTTTGAATCTGAAAATTAATACCGTATTTCGGAACAAATCGATTTGCAGGCCCTGAACGTGATGATTTTAAAGAAATTTTTACCCTAAATGTAAAAGTGCGTTTCGAAAGAAATATATATCCTTTTCAAATCACACGTGATAAATAATTTGTCTAAAAATATTGGCAATTTCTTGAGAAATTTATTGTGAAGATGAAATCCCTCTGACAGAGGTCGGGGCTTGAGAAATTGAAATTTCATTAGTTTTCATATAGATCCATCTCTAATTCTCGCGTAATTAGCTTATGGAATATCGTATATGAATTTTCAGATATTGTCGCTTATGGCACGTTAAATTGCCGTTCGCGATCCAATATGAGTTTAACTCAGACATAACGTAATTACACGTGGGACAAGCGACGCTCGTCTTGCATTCCTGTTCAGTATGAGGACGTTCCGCGGGGTCGCAGTCCCTGGAGATGGCACCAACACCGTCTCTGCATTCGATCGTCCTCGTCCGTATTCCGGTGCCACAGGTCACGGAGCACTGCATAAATAAAAAGTTAAAATGCACACTTCGCGTGGCATTGTAATGAGACGCAATATAGCCAATATAAGAAGCGCGCAATAATATAGACAATTTAAAAAAATTGTAGCGAAATTCATATCTCGGAGGTATTAAGAATTTAGGAACGTGAAACAATTACGTTTATTTAAATTTGTAAAAATAATTAATTTTACAATATATATTGCATAATTAAAAATTCTCTTATAATAGACAATAAACATCATAAACACGCGGGACATATATTGACATATTGTCAATATTTTTCCTTTACTATAATATATGTTTAGTGAAAAAAATACAAGGTATAAAAAATAATCTTATATCACTTGTAATTTATTTCCTATAATTTAATAGGAAATGTTTGTTTGACAGGGGATAATTCGATATACAAAATTCCAGATATCACCCTTCTTCGAAAGTAGGGAAAGATGCAATCGGAACTCCTTGTACCGCATTAATGGCTGGGCAACTTTGCACGGCAACACCACATTCCATGGCAGACTAATATCGAAGCACAGTTTAATTTAAAATTCCGGATTACTATTTTCCGTTCTCATTTCGTCGAAGCCGAAAAGTCTCGTTCGGGGCACGTTGCACTTTTAAAGTTTCTCGCTCGCAATGAAATCTGCAAAGAGAGGAAAAAGAGAGAGAGAGAGAGATGAGAGGAAAGTGCCAAGGCGAAGACGGACCTGGCAAAAGGAAAGGCGACGGAAAAGAGATAATGGAGGAAGGAAAGAGAGAAGGAAATTCGAAAATGTGGAAGACAATAAAGAAAGTGCTCGGATGTAGAAGTTATCGTTTCGAGACGTCGAAAGTGGAAAAGTGACACACGAAAGGAAAAGCGGAAACCTACTCAACTTAGCCTTCTCCAACACCACCGTCTTCTCATTCCGCTCTTTATCTCGGTCCTTCACTCTCCTCCATCCTTCATCTTTCTCCGTCTGTCTTTGCTTTTCATGGTCGAGCTATATAACTCGGAAAGAGTCTCGATAGCGAGGGGGAGTGCTTTAAGGAGCCCTGTGCTTTCAGTTCAATATTTGCATGGCTCCCGGGCGTTCACAAAAGAGAGAAATCTATCAATTCCTGTCTTCTCTCAGGGGCGCTTCCCTGCGCTCCACGAGGATGAAATCATTACCGTGCTACGCTGACGGGCACCGAGGCCTTTATGTATCGCTACCAGAAAGAGCACCATTCGGGATGCTGCCGGTTCTCGAAAGCGAACGGGGACGGGCCATTGTGTATCGATCAGAAATGAAGTGCCGTAAATCATGGGGGCACCGCACACTTTCGCCTGCACATGACTGGGAAGATTTATCCCCTTTACCTGTGTATTCCACGTAATACATTCATTGGTATGTGTACGAATGAGCGTAATGGGATAGCGATTTGTTTGTTGGCGCGAGATAAATAACGTTCTTTGAAAAATAGAGATGATACGTTTTTATTTGCTACACAGTCGTCTGCAATATATACTTTGCTACACTATATATATATCCCCTTTAAAAGGAGATTTGACTTGCAATGAAATTTTATTCTCTTGAGAATAAATAGAATCACGATTTATGTACATTAAAGATACATAAATATTGAGTAGCATAAATAGAGATTTTATTATTAATATATTTAATTTTTTTACATAAAGTAATTTATAATGAGAACTGATCCAACTGATTTGACATAATAAGATTTCATTATTTTAATTTTAATTTTTTAAATTTAAATTTTATATTTGATTACCTTATCGTCTAATTTTATTGCCTTTATTGTATCTCGAGTTGTTTGATATTCATTCTATGCAAACAGATTGAGAAAAACGGAAAACAAACTTGGAGGTCTCATGTATAAAGCAAACTAGTAATACATGGTCAGCAAAATATTGCATCTTACACGTGGCGGTTATCGCAATAAATACACATTCAGTGCAACGGATCGCATTTAGCGACCTCATGAATAAAGCATGACGTCTACATTCCGCAGGGAAGTTGCAGAGATTTTTCCTTTCACGTATCTACCGAGGAACTTTAGTTCGCTCAAGAGACGGGAGACGTTCACGAAAACTCGTACAAACGCCATTCTTTACTGTTATCTTCCCGGACGTTCATCGTCATGTCCTTATTTATGCAACGAGGTTGCATTCTCGAGGATCATGAGAAGCTATTTTACCCACAGCGGGAATTCTCAATGTGTAACCGGACAAAGAATTTGCGATTCACAGACATTTTTTTTAACGCAATTGACTCTCAAACAAATCTGTCTCCAAGAATATCTTTCCCGAAAGCGCGCGTCTTTTCTAACATTTAACACCCACATCTCTCTGAATCTTTTATGCGCGTTTTATGATCGTATAAATCTTGCAAGTTGCAAATTGGCAATTTAATCTGGAAAAAATATTTAAGAAAAGCCTTCGATTCTCGAATTCTTTCGTACAAAGCTCCGTGATTCAAAGGACCGAGATGTGCGCTCAGTCGTCCAGAGAGAGTTGGAGGAATTCCAAGTAGATAAGTACCGCGCGTTGTCGGTCATGTAAAGTCGCGCGACACTTTTATTGCGGAATAAATTTGAATAACATCCCTAAAGAAAGTGAAAAACGTTCAATGGCGGTTCAAAGTGCGCGTTCACCTCAGAAGTTTGCCGAACGTTTAAAGCGCCCGCCATCCATCATAAAGTTACCCAAACAACGTGTATAATTCGCATGTGTGACATCAGGAGTCCCGAATAGCGTGTGCAACTATTAATAGACCGTCGTTCTAATCTCGAGATTCTCTTTCAATTCGCGAATGCCGCGAATCGTTGTTCGTTATTTCACATCGAACAAACTTGGAGGCAATCAGGACGATTCGTGAGGCACTAGGGTCGCGATGAGTCTCGCATAATGAAAATTCTGGAAGGCTTCCAGGTAATGTATCGATTTTCGTGTGCAAGCATTCGCTGGACCGGGGAGAGAGAGAGAGAGAGAGACAGAGGGAAAGCAGGTCGTCGAGCATTGTGTGCCAGAAAGGATGCCGGAAAACTGACATAAGCGACTCGTTCGAGTATTATGCAATATGTACCGTGCCTGTTTGAACTGCACGTATTCGCACGCGACGAAACATCGGTAGATGCGCATTCCGGTTACCGCCGCATAAATTTATCCGAGCTCCCTATGTTTTATGCAGACGTTTTATGATAACTCTGGCGCATCTGCTCTCCACATCTTCCTCTTATGTGTGTGTTTTTTTTAAATATATTTTATAACATATCTGCCCGAAGTTTGTACAATGATGTAAAACATTATTTTTTCGACAGAGTTGATTAATTCTCAGGTTAAAATAATGAAAATATAGGAGACTGTAATCGATCGAATCGAGAATATGGAATAGATTATTTTAATTGCTAAATTAAGGTAATTGAATGGATTGTTTCTTCCTCTTCGCTTATTTATAAGGCTTCTCGCGTTGGAAATAGAATAGAGAATATTCGATTTTTTTAGATGGGAAAATTAAACAATATTTTTGTCTTTTCTAAATTTTCAGTGTTTTAATTCAGTTCAATTTTTATTTCAGCGTCAATTTTTACTTTACGAACGGAAAATTATCTGGCGAGGCAGAAATTGCTATTCCATCATTAACCGCGATGCAAGACGCGCGTGGTTAAATCTCGAGTACGCTACAAAATCACACAAAGTTCTGGAATGCCTCCAGGAACTATCTCGATTTTCGGCGAGCCGTGGAAGCAAGAAACTAACGATTGTGCTGAACGATCGTGCCAGGAGGGGCGTCGAGACGCCCTCGGGGGCGCCGCCGAGTCGACTTGCATCGAAAATGCAGCGGCCTCGATATCTGAATCGCCTTCGTTACGGAATCGTGGCGATCTGCAACGTTAGCAGGGACGCTTTTTCGGGGTCGGAGATCGGAATTATTCTCGACGGCGATGACCTTTCGCGATATATCGAGCTTGTCGATCGCGAGCGTGCATGGGAAACTCGACTCGAGTCTTTTTCTTGATAAAATATCTACGTACATACGTCATACTTATCTCCTTTCCCACATTTTCTTCCGTTTCTTCTCCTCGAGACTCCACGAAAAACACTGGCAAATATATATGCGACTTCTTATTATCCTCCCCCTGAGAAATGTAATCTTATTTTTTCCGCAATAATTTAATGAGCAACGAAGCAAACGAAGAACAAAGTAGAAAAGAAGATTTATCGGTTTTTTTCCTCGATTTTCTGTAAGATGCAATGTTGAAGTACGAAACAAGAAATTGTTCCATTATAAATGCATCACGAATTTTTCTTACATTCGCCTTTTGCCGTTATTCTTAAAAGAAAGTGACACTTCATTTCTTTGCAAACAACGGGGAGAATAATTTATCGATTTGATGTTGCAGTTTCCAGGAATAATAGCAGATTGTTCACGCACCTTCATTCGCGAATTGCTCGTGTATCTAGGATGGTCATATATACGTGATCTTCTATCTATACCCTCTTATACTACTCCGTCTATCACAGCGTCTCAATTTCTCCCTCGAATCGGTAAGAGCTCTTCGCGCCAGTATCATACATCTTTCTCCTTTTCTCTCTTCTTCCTTTCGGCTTTGCCATGGAAAGAAGGCCAGCGTGGTTGTCTCTCACCAGGATTTGATGGAACGGAGTGCGAAACGGAAAAGGAATGTGCGGAAAGCGCAGAAAGGCGGTTATTTGGCGACTAAATTGTCCTGTTTGATGTTAGTGGCTGATGTCGCCCAAAGCGTCCTCAAAGAGCTCCACGAGGAAAGAGTATGGCTAAAAAGTACTGGTAAACTTGGAAGACATTTCGCGTGCAAAGAGACGTCAAGCTTCGTTCTCGTCGCGCCCACCTACTCATGCGATTTAAACGTAATTCGTACACGAGTCGATGGTGAGGAGGCGAGGTAGTTTGCAGTCTGCGGCCATTTTTACGCCAGATCTTCACGTGACAGTAAGAACGCGTCCTCTTTCATGCCGTGGACGAGGATTCACCGTCGTCGTTCGCGAACGATGCTCTGTTCGCGCGATTCCTCGGTTTCGAAGAAATCCGATTTAGTCGTCGGTGTCGCGAATGAGAGTGCTGTTTTATCCACGTTCGTCTGCTATTCGATACAATCGTTTGTGTTAAAGAAAAATAAGGATACTTTTTTCCCTGTTTCCTGTAGAAAAATGCGAGAATCACGATACTTTTTTTGGAAACATCTTGGAAAGGATAGATATTAGAACCATTTTTGTGAGTCAATTCTTCCAAGTATTCGCGCAAAAATATTAATTTATATTACAGATATTTTATCTGTGCTTTATAAAGACATTAAAGGAAAAGAATTTCACATCAAGTTGTAGAACCGTATCTTTAATTAGTCTGAAATAATTTCTGCTTCAGAAAGATCAAATGCAAGCTAAAAATGTTATATTTAATATAATTTAACATCTACTTGCCTGGAAATATCACTTTTCTCTCAGTAAAAATATAAAGATGTAATATAAATGTATATATGTAAAAACTATACAACTCCATTTCAATTTATTTACATGATGTGAAAATTTTCGCATTGCGAGTGAAAATTCAGTGCGCATCGACAAGGGATTAAAATATATTTTAACAAAGATATTTCCGACGCATAAAAAGCGATAGAAACAAATAAATTACCTAAATTAAGAATAAGAAATAATTGTTGTGCTATGCAAATAAATTTTCAAATCAAAACTTAGAGGACAAATTAGACGAATTGCAAATTAATCCGTAATTTAAACTTGAATAACGTACTCGAATCTGCGATTTCATTTATATAGATCTAACTTAATTCTATGTTCTATAATTTTCTCCCGATTAAAAATCAGATTATTGATAGTTATTAGATATTATTGATTTTGGTAATAATTGACAAGAATAATTATTATCAGATTATTGATTTTTGATGATTAACAAAGTTAATTATAAAAAAATTATATTGCTATAATTTTTACCTACTTACTAAAAAAGACAATATACATTAGAAGAATGCAAATATACAGAATTAGTAGCGAGAATGTTTCGATCTTCTGTTCGTCGACTTTCTACGTTCTCTTTAGAAACGCCCCGAAGTCGTTATACAGAATAAAAACGTACGGGTAGTCAAGCTTTTTCTCGATAGCTAATGAACCGAAGAAAAACGGAGCTTACTAGGTGAAATTTATTCTGCTTGAGATACAAAAACAGATCGCTCTCGTCGTTAACCGATCTAACGCGAATTCATTTCCGTAAAAATCAAAAGTAACGTATAACATATCGAATCTAATATTCCGCTATTAGTTTAATTGTAAAAATTTCGTCACTGTTCAATCTTTAGGGAATGTCTCCCTATTGATAGGATGTAATTTTACTCATCTTTACTCGCGATCCGTTCATGCACAATTATGGTGATTGTGCTCGCGGAGCTTTTGGAGAAAATCGCATTGTCACGGAGAAACGTGGACGTATCGCGATTGCAGAGGAAAGGAAGATTACATTTTCATACGGTTCCTGAATTGCGCCGACGTATCCGTCGCCAAAAGCGCGCTGTGCAAATCGCGCGCAGCCCGTTAATTTGGCTTTGCCTTTAAACGCCACGTACACTGTGACTTGTCGAAAAGGATGGAACGGATGGAAACAGAGTTTTATAATTAAAGGCTTCTCCTTGCTGTACGCGCGCGTTTGTGTCCGAGCATGTAATAGTGTAATAGCGCGCTGCGATTCGGATTTACAGATAAATTAACGCAAGCTTTGAGATGCGCGTTGGGATTATTCGAGGAGTCTTCAATTAAGTCTGCTAATTGTACGATCTTCAGATTCTAAGTGATAATGCTCGAGCTAACTAAAATAAAACTGCTATTAGTGATTTTCTCATTATTAATTTGTTAGATCTTCCTTAGATCTTCTCTATTAGATCTTGCTACTTCCTTTTTTAGAGATTTAAAAAAAAAATAATGGAAATTAACATGTATTAATAGAAACAATTATTAATTCTGTGTATTTATTAGATATTGAAATGTTTTGATTTTTTTATTGTAAAAAATGTTAGAAATTGAAGCCGTACTTAATCGTTAGAAATTAATGTTCATTAGAAATTGATTTCTATCTTGTATTTTAATGTTCATTAGAAATTGATTTCTATCTTGTATTTTAATCTTGTATTTTAATAAATAATAATTAATGTAATATCGATGAATGCTAATGCTAAAGGAATGTTTTACGAAGTATAGGTTACTCGAATCGGTCATTTCACATACGTAACAATCCCTAACATTTATATAGAGAGTAAAGAGAGCGTGCAAATCGTGCACAGCCATTAACCCTGTTTCCCTCTGGCCAGTACGTTCTGCCAGTAAAACTCGCAATTGAGATAGCGAGCTCTGCTTTGTTCCTACGAGTGTGTATTTGCGACTGGACCCGATGCATGCATCCAAATCCGCGATTGTGGCGAGCGAAAGCTTAACATTTTCGCTCTTAAAAGATAGCACATCTCCATCTACACCTCGACCGGCGCGTACAACGCGTTTTACTCGCGTAAAATCTCATGCAGCTCTCACCTCGCTCCATTTATCGGTCTCCCACATCGGGCAGGACACGGTGTTGCAGGTCTCCTGAGTGCGCGGTTCGTGCGTGCTGCTGCACTTGTGGTCGGGTAGCTGTAACGACAACGTTTTAATATTAGTTTAAGCTTAAAAGACATCATACATGCGTACAAAATATTTCCCGAAAATCTGAAATATCTTACTTCTATTTCACCGCGAATTTTAAAGGGCAAGTTTATAAAGTAGCATTCATTAAAAGAAGAAAAAAAAATTACACAAGAAAATTGAATTCGCATTTCTCTTACTAGATCTGAGGAAAATTATAAGTTTATACAAAATAAATATAGACTGTTTATTTTATATGTATGTGTTTAGTGCGAGCTGGAGTCATGGGGAGATTTTTATGGTGAATAGCACAGCTCTTGAAGTTTAAACGAACTGAACTGGGTTAGGGATCGTGAAATCTTCCAAGATCGTTGCGAGAAACGCGACAGGCTACGTATGTAAATGCGACTCTCAGACCAAGTACGAAAGTATACGACATAAAATTGCTGAGATGAGAGGAATGGTTAACGTTCCATCCGCGCGGAAACGCGGCGGAATTACGGCGTGTCTAACGTCAGTGGCGAAATGTGAAAAATGTGGCGTTTTATCGTGTGCACGCGTAACGCTGATTCGCATCGCGCGCTGGCAGATTTATTCCGGAAAGATTTATTTGTCTTTACATCCCGCGCGCGCCGAGTTCCATCGCGTTGACATTTTTCTCAGAGTAAACTTGACATTCCTCCAAGTTTTCAAACCGCACTCCACTTTTTCGAGTACGACTATATTAATTTTGCATGTGTTAGGCGAATTTAAATAACCGACCTGTGCTGTGTGATTTTTCAATTAAAATGTTTTACCTGGATTCAAGAGTTTACAAGAGAAATTATGTACTCTTCTTTTATAGTAGACCGACGATTATAAATATATGATGGATGATTAATGTGGTATCAATTAAACAAAAATATCCACTATTAAAAAATAATAACGAGATTTATTAATAACGATGCTAAATCCATCAAGATGTCGATGACATCGATGATATCTAAAGATTATTCACAGTATGAAATATTAACAAGCATATTCATATTAAAATCTGAGTTTTACTCAGACATTTAATGAAATATTAACAAGCATATTCATATTAAAATCTGAGTTTTACGTTATTAATAGATGAGAAAAATAAATAGTTTCTAGCGCTCTATCAGAATCATTATCACAAGAAAATATATTTAAGGAAAAGTTTCATTTCTTGTTACTATTGAAAAATCGCCCTATCTTTCGAATTTACCTTCGTAGTTTCGTTTCCATTCTCCTCGATGCAGAAGACGGACCTCGTCCTCGACCCACCACCGCAGCTCGCGCTGCATGCGCTCCATTCTCCGCTCAACCATCTGAAAGGAGAAGGAAAATCGCTCAAAGCAACGGTATCACAGAGATATAAGTTTGTTTCGGAGCCGCGAAATTATACAGCTACTTGTATTTATGCGTAGCGAAGCCGTAAACACCGTATGTGTCAATAAAAATTGACTAATATTCCGCTCCTGTCGATGTGACAAGCCCTTACCTTATTTAAGATAGATATAAAAAAAATGAACGTGTGTATCAACCCTCATGATATAAATTTTATGGTTTGAGAAAGGTGACATACTGCTTGAAATGTGTTAAAAATGCAACGAGTGTTTCCATATCGGTACGATTTTTTTCTCGTTTTTTTTTTACGTTGTTGGATGTTCATTTTTCAGATTCGACTTTTCACGTTACTTACGAGCTGCGGCATACGGGGCCATCGACTTCCAAAATATGAAATAGAAGTTTGTACACGTAGTTTGCCAAAAGTTTTTTTTTCGTCCATTTTCTATCATAATAAAATAAAATTTTAAAAGTTGATTATACACATTAAATAATGCAATATGTAACACAAAAGTAAATATGTAAAAAATATAATATTAAAATATCTATTTCAAGATATATATATATATATATATATATATATATATATTTCTATTTAAATGTGAAGGCAATTAAATTGAAAATTTAATCCTAATCTTTTTTATAGATAAACCTTTTAATTTGTATTTTTCTTCTTGTTTTTTTATTGGACAATATGAGACATTTTTTACTGCAAAATATTGCAAACAAATTTCATATCATCAATGGAAAGCAAAGGATTAACAAAATAAATGTAACTTTGTTTTTAATACAATCTTGATAATTATGGATATTTTAGATTGAAAGAGTGAAGCGTTTCTTTATGACATTCTTGGCTAACATCTTTAATGACCACGAGTTTCAATGTATGAGGTGTAAGACTAAAGATACCGATTTTTGCTGAGCATTTACAAGTAACATGGATAGAGAGTGCCTTCCATCGAGGTAACAGGCTTTTTTTATAAAACTGTCAAAGTCACTCTCGGCAGTTTTCATGCACGATGCCATAAAAATGTTTCGTGTACGAGCGATTGCGCTAAATGACAAAGTGAAACGGTAACTCCGTTCGTGACTGGCATTATACGCGGGATATCGATCATCGATTATCGTCGATCTTGCCGATCTCACGAGCCGCTCTGGCATTCTTTCCACGTGATTTCCAAAGTTATCTTTGATGCGATTCAATTTCCGCAACGACAAGGCCAACCTGCGTATCTATACAAGTCTGTACTCGATAAAAGCCAGATTTACATGAAGTATGTACGTTCTCAAAATTTGAGATTAATTGTTGTAATTTTTCCAATTCCTCTCACATTGTATACTTCTTTTATGAAAAAAATCGCACGAGACACCATCGCTACCCGATTCTATCAATCGATCACGCTAACGGCTTTCGGCTTTATGACGTGAACCTCGTTTACAGCGTAACACGTGCACTATTTATGACGAATTCGTGATGTGTCCCGATGTGTGTATTTTTTGAATTTTCTCGCGTATCAAACTAAAAAAATATTCTAATAAAAATAAAGCGTAACTATTTTATTTAATTTATATATATATAATATAATATAATTTATTTAGTTTATATAATGTCATTTACTATAAAATAGTGAAAAAAAATCAAGATTCACGAATATTTATTCGGTTTTTAATTACGCTAAAATAAAAATCTAATGTGTGTTCTCTTATTAATAGTTATTTCTGTGATACATTTTTCAAATGCAGACTCTCAATATTGAGAATCCTAATCAAATATGTCGATTACTTAAACATCAATCATGCGTATTTAAAGATAAATGGCAATGTATGAATCGTGACTTTCGGATCTAAAGTGCGGTTATGGCTTTTCAGAGTCTCGTTCCCTTTGGGGAAAAGATGGGTCGCTTCTTAGTCGGTCTGACCGAATTGAATTCGAACTAAACTCGAGGGCACTCCAATTAAGCTGTTGACCAATTCATTGGTATCGATCGGTGTCCCTAGTAATTTATCAGCGCAGTGACTTGTAATCACGCTATATCGTATTGCCGACACCATAAGAGTTAAGTCGATCGCGTCGCCTGTCTCCCATCGTAATCGTTGGACGATACAATTCGATTACCGTCAGCGATACCGATGTCGCAAGCGTGCTCCAAATAGAAATTTTCTTGCGTTTTACTGAATCGATTGATCGGTTGACGTGAGACAGATGGAGTGAGACATATTACAACACGAATGTCCGATCGATGAAAAACTAATACGTTTCCTTTGAACGCAATTTTCCAATGCAACTGGTGTTTCTTGCGTATAGCACGAGTTTTACTTATTAATTTTCCACGAAACACAAACTTGCATTCCGATGCCTTTTCAGAAATAGCAGTAATATTCTCTTCGTTGCCGCTCTTAATCGTTCGCGGAACAGTAATAATAAGCGTTGGCAAAGATCATCGACCGCCTCGTGAACATTGAACCATAAATTCAAGCACAAAGAACAGAATCTATATACTAGACTGCAAACTTTCCGCGGTTCTCGCTTTCAGCGAGCCCGAGTATCCAGAGAGATAGAGGGAGAGAGAACAGTTTGCGAGAGTTTTTGTCCGAGTCTCGTCGACGGCGGAGTATCTCGTCGTTTGTTGGACGATTCCCATCGCGAGAGCCGGCTTTAAATCGCAACCCTTCCACGAGAACGGAAGAGAAATATTGTTGTAGGAACAAAGATCGTTTGTACCGAGCACCAGTTCCCAATTTCCCGCTCGCTCTTCGCTTGCTTCCTCCAAGATCTCGAGATATCGCTTGTACGAAAATTAAGATTTATTCGCGTTCAAAGCGCAAAATACGGTCAAAGATATTGTAATATTAGACGAGGGGCTCGGGGATGATGGAAGGCATGTATATAATATCTGCTTTTCGATTACTGCACGCGAATGTAGTTGGACGTTCCTCGACGTGGAACGTGCATGCAGTTCTACTAAAAGTAGTTTAATCTGTCGGAAAGTACTCACTTCGTCGTGCAGGGGTGCGTGTTGCACGGCATCAGGGTCTTCTCTGGCCGGCTGTTTGCATCGCAATAGCTGTCCTCCACGACACTCTCGTCGACGCCGACCGATTTGCACACCGTCATCGCCATCTTGAAACCTATTAGTGCAAAAACGCGACCGGCAAATTAGCCCTCCAATTTGATAGCGAACGCTGTCGTGCGAGTAATGCTGCGATGCTGTGAATTTCATTTAGTGTCTTCTTACGACATCCCAATTCCTTCTAAACTGTCACGAAATGTATTTGGATCGCTAAATGTAATAATGTAACGAATTTCTAAAATATTAAAAGTAATTCTTTTCGAGCAGAGACGTTTGACGGTCATGAGTATTGCTTTTATATAGTGCAATTTAAAGAAAAATAAGTATTTGAGAGAACAAAGATAAAACCTTTAATGACTTTATGTAAATGAGTTATTGAAAGTATGAAATATTCATCGCGATAGTTTAGTTGCTATGTTTATTTCCATAGGAAAATATAGTTATATTAATTCAGTAATTACCAACCTCCACCGCAGGACTTGGAACAGGCGGATATCGATTCTAAACTCCAGGAGTATCGCGATTGGCAGCTTGATCCATTCCCTCCGCACACGCCACACGCATCTGTGTTCTTGTTACTACCAACTCTAAGGTCACAGCCAACCTTCTGCAACAGAAATCCACGCTCGATTAATGAAACACGTCTTCCACATAATAGATCTTAGTCGCGGTTGTCCCTAACATTGTCGTGAGGGGATAATTTTCTCTCAAACACTTGTTACATGTGCGTTAATTTCGCTTCGTTGCTTTTCCTTCATTTTTTATCAATAGAATAATAATAATAATTGTCTAAAACTGCTAACAGTATTATTAATTGCAATTTGTTTCTAATTTAAAAAATTACTTAATGATTTAACTAATATTTCGATCAGGAAAAATATAAATTCTCTTGTGGTTAAATTTGTTGTGGTTAAAAGTGTTCGATAAAAGTTTTATTTCTGATTCCAAAGTCATAATTTATAACGATTTATTATTTACGTGACGGGGAATTTTCTAGTCGGAGGTTCTATAGTTGATCTGGAAGAGTTTCGCAGCAACGACGGTATTTCGGAGGATATTAAGAGGATTGACGAACGCTGACGTGTACCATCAGGATTCATGCGAGAACGAGGAACATCTCGCGAAAATTCAGGACCTTTGAGAAGGTAGACGCGAAGAGGTGGCAGAGATGGTAGAGTCTGACGTCGATTCGTGACCTGGCTCGGACGGCAAACTGATTTGTCATTCAGGTTGCATGGAGGTTTGCTCGGAGGTCGGGGAGTACATTATTCATCCCTTATCCAGGGCGAGAAGAGTGAAGGCAAACTGGAAGGCGAAGGTGCGAGCGAATGAGCGAAGTGAGACGCGTCGGAGATGCCAGGAGGAAGCAGCGGCGAGCGAGAGTAAAAAGGAGAAGGACGTGAGCCTAACGAGGGATCTCTCGTACGATAAACTACGGTGGTGAGATAATCCGAGATTTCGCAAAGTGACTTGCGACGCGAATAAATCGTCTCTATTACGCACAAAATCGACAAATCAAAAATGCGTAATATATATATAGTTTCTCTCTCTCTCTCTCTCTCTTTCTTTCGTGACAATTATTTATTTTTTTTTATATTTAAATATTAGCAAATAATTATTGTGCTTTCTACTAATTTTATTATTCATTAATTTTTATACCATCGTGTTTACTTTATGTTATAATCACGTTACACGTAATTGTACATTCCACTAAATAGCAGGACGTGTCAATTCTACTTCTTGTAGTCGTTATCGCCTCAAATCGTCCGAATTACTCATCCATCCCGTTATACTTTGATATCTTCTTTTATACACGATTTTACATAACGGCGTCGTTGAATGAAAGCTAGACATTATCGGACGAAAATTGCACACTAAATCCAGTGCGACGCGGCGGGCGCGGCGGTCTCCATTTCGGCCCAATTGACCGTTCGATTTGGCTGCAAAATCGAAATAGGGCTCGATTATCGTTCAAGTTTCAAACTCTCCCCGAAATACTTCCATTAAACATCGGCGATCGTCATTCGGCGAATTGCGGCAGTTACGAGCGCAGTTTTATCCCGTGCACCAATGCAGAAGCCCAGTTTAGGCAGGTACTTTATTTCCGCTCTCGAAACTCTGGCTCTCTAATAGCTTCACGCATCGAGAAGTTACACTAACGCGAGAGCAAAAATATCTGAGGGAATGGAGATACCGGAGGTCACAAAGCGGATTGTGAAATGTACTCTTATGGAATAGCAAAGAGAGCTACGTCCGATGCATTCGTGTAAAGTTTAATCTTCGACTATCATAAATGTCTTTCCCCTCTAAGAAAGTTTTAAATAGTTTCATTAGTTAATCAACCAAAGCTCCGATGTATTTTTTACTTGTATATATTTTGATTTATTTAGAAAAAAAAATAATATTAATTCGACAAAGAATTCAAGATGTTATGAAAATAATTTAGCTTACAATTGCAATTCATTTTCTATTATTTTATAGCGGATGGACGAGCGAGAAAGAGAGAAAAGTATCTGTTGTTTTAAAACCGCGAAGATAATTATGAGAAACTGCTGGAGGATCAATGCTCGAATCACACGATTTACGTTCGATAGATCTGAAGGGATATGAAGAAATTTAATTTCCTGCGAGAACGAATTTGTTTCATATTTTCTCTATCTACTGTATAACGATAGAACAGAAATATCTCAACAGTCATGTGTCTTCGCGCTTGCACGTTTCTTTGTATAAAAGACATGCATGCGGGGGTGCGCCGGATTAGGTTTACTTTGCCGCGAAAGTGGGAATCAATGATGGGACTCGATAATTGAAAGATGAGGTCATCGAAGCAACCTGTTATTTCTCTAGGTAAATAAGTCGGAAGAGAACGGTAATTCCGCTGGGCGTGAGAAATGAAATATCACGGGACTTAACGGTACTCCGCCAATCTTGTGACCCTTTTCTATTCCTGGTTTCAAACACAAATAATCGTTGCAATAAAATCGCGGTAATAAAAATAAGAAATTAGAATTACAAAAATGCTATTATCAATAAATATACAATTTATTAATACTATATAAATATATTATTATATATTTAATTTTATATATTACATATAAAATTAATATCTGCATTAAATAAAAAATAATCATAGTAGGACTTAAATAAATATGTTTTATATTATATATTGCAATCTGTTTTTCTCATTTTTATCATTTCTAATTTATAACGGCATCATTTCATATCCGTCTAACAAAATACTTAAAAAATCTGTATATCGTGAAATCTATTTTAAAAAAGTCCATTAATAACTTTACACAAATAAGATTTTTCCAATACTTTCGGATCGAAATCAATTACTGTGTCAATATATACACACCTTTTATTTAAATAGAAATCAGAGGGATTAGACACAAAAGCCGATAATTGCTAATGCTCTCGCGATTTTCCACACCGTAGCGATTTCGTTGCGCAAATTTGACTGACATTCAATTATTCACCCACGCGCTTGAAATTCTATTCGATGTTCCTTTCTTAGTACCCTTGTCCCTTGTACCCTATTAAGATATATCCCGCCTTTTCTACCAGTCTCATACCGGGCATCTCCCGGCCATCACGTTCCACTTTCCCTTCCCTCGCACGTTTCTATCTTTTAACATAGTTTTCTCGAGAATAAGATTTATACAGAATGGAGAAAGGGGTGCTTAACCTCGAGCGTTTTATTCGCCTTCAGTTTTCACTGGCACGATAAAATTTACTGTTTACCTGTCCGAGAGTATACGACTCTGATTCAATCTACGCTTTTTATAATCGTTCCATATTCGTTTAATTATAGACAATGCGTTTCTGTCGACTTTAGGCGTAAGAAACTAAAAATGGGAGCATTAAACTTTAAGAGAGAAAAAAATAATTGGACAAAAACACTAGGGAAGGGAGCAAAAGGAAGCAAACAAGAACTTATTTCTAGGAGAAAGCAAATTTTTGCCTCTTGTATGGCTTCTCCCTTGTTCTTTCGTTGTGCAGCATTAATCTTAGTCAAATCTTGTTAAAAAGTAGCAGTTTGACCGAAATTTAGAGTACAAACTTTGATAAGATACTTTCGTATTCGTTTAAAGTATTCTCTCATATTTGTTCAAAGTGTTCTTTCATTCTCGTAAAGTTTAATAAGAATGAACATCTAATTACTATTCATTTCTGAAGGATTCTTTTTTGTTAAAAAAAGAAGCACCGATAGAGAAGCTTAGCGCAACTTCGGTAACAAAATACGAAACTTGCGGCGGGCAATATTCGTTTCTTTGGTGGCGTGAAATAGCATCAATCTTCTTTCGTATCTCTTGACTGGAATTAAAATTTATTTATACGCTAAAATAATTAAAATTATACAGAAAATTCTAATTTTTTAAGAGAATTTCCGAGATAAAAAAAGTCAAAGAAAGTCAGTCATACAGTCACAAGTCAGAAATGCATTACGATTTTTCAGGTCATTGATAAAACATTAAATTACACTATCGCCAGTAATTCGTAAGTAATGTAATTTCTCAAAATTCACTGTTCCCATCACTAGAAACGGTGTGAATGGCATAATAATTTCTCGCCCCGAAGATAAATTTTAACGAGTGCACAACGTAATGAAAAAGCTTTGGCGCGACCATCGGGCGTGTCCGCAACGAAAGCGGGACTCGGCACTTTTAATAACGCAAAGCCAGTTTGCGTTTACTGGAGTTTGCTTAATGCTTAATTACGTAGACTTCTCTGCTGATTAGATATTGTCTCCCCGACTGCGTTGCCGGCCTCGCCGTTATGAGAATTCGTTAATTATTCCATGGCATACCGCGAACACGCTTCCCTGGCGTTATTGTTAATCCGATTTCTTTCTGGTTGTTTCGCGGTATCACGAGTCTCATTTAATTTAGGATCAAAGAATTAAGATTTTAATGCTACGTCCTGGACGCGCATTATATTTTCGCGACAAGGAAACGTCCAATTTGTATGCAGATAAAAAATTTAGAGAAGAGTAAATTAAATATACTTACGATTCATTTTTATGTAGTAATTTACAGTTCAAGAAATTACTCTGTATTTTAGTACGTTAAAAATATTTCTAATACTCTTAGCAATTATAAATAATAAATTAATGAGATATTTAATAATTATAATACATATATTAATAATTATGTTATATTAATAAAATATTAATATTGTACATAATAAAATTGAATTCTTGTTTAGTTTTGTGCTCTAGTCTATAATAATCTAATTTTGCTACTCATAATAAAATAGCAAATGATGATATGTGAATCGAAATATAACGAATATAAATAAACAATTAATTAAATGGATAATTTTGTTTAACAGATGAGCACTTTAAATATTTGATTATGCATAACAGTATGTAATTACGAGTATGTTTGAAAAAATAATGAGACATTTTAAACTGAAACTTACAAGTATCTCATTAAGATATCCCATTAAAAGTTATCAAGAAAGCATGCTTCTGAGCTTATTAGATAAAACGAACCGCGCAACATTATTGTATAATAACACTGGACAATCTTCATTACGCTTCTCCAGAAAGTACATGCACGCGTATACATACATTATATGCATACACATGCATATGACGTAGATCAAATTAAGTTAATGGACGATGAGATCGGGCTTCTCGACACGCCCATGTTAAATATTAGCTGAAGACTGAGCTAGCAGCGCTTCGTTAGGTTGCATTTTAACAACAAGATGTGAAACACGCCTGTATCGTAGCGACATCGAGAACCAACGAGTTTAAGATACTATTTGATATGTACACGCGCCTCTTCGTGCAACGATGTCTAGCGCGAAAATCTTCTCCGACATTCCTCGACTTTCGCCACTAATTTCAAAAGTTACAGCTTCAGGAAGTTTCGACAAGAGACGTGGCAATTGCGGTTAGATTCTTAAGTAATGCCTTCAATTTAATCTAGCAATTAAGACCACCCTCGTCCAAGTATTTAAGAACGTTGCTTATCTACTTGATTAATAATTTTTCTTGAACACTTCTCACTTCTCGAGTACCAGAAAAAAAGACTATAAGAATGAAAGAAGAATATTTGGCATGTGTATGTGTCATACGTACGTTAAAACGCATGTAATATTAGCGCTCTCTGCTTTTACAATTACAAACTCTTTGATCTTTGATTAACTTGGAGTAAATTTTTCACCCTAAATATTATCGGTAATTTCATATAATTTTGCATTCACATTAATACAATTAATTTCAAACAAGGCTTTCATGCACATATAAAGGCTACTCCCATTTATTGTTTTAGGTAATGTTTCGGCGATATAGTTCGATTCACACATGACTCTTGATTAATTAATTGAGTAATTATTCGATCAAAATTACAGATCGGATTATATCGATGTTCAAAACGCGTTGCCCAAGCTAATGGTAAATTTAATATGTAAATTCCCAAGGTATTAGGCAAGCCAGGATTCATCGATTTAACAATGCAAACGAGTAGTTAAATGGATTAATAAATCAAAATGCAATTTTGATTCAAACATTATTACTTTGAGTTATTTACATTCCAAATGTATTTCCACATATGCTTAAAATGGCCTAGATAATTTATCGAAATTGTTTTATATTTGCATGGAAAAGCATGGAATCGTGCGAAGAAACGAAATCAAAAAGAATGTTACAATCATACATCAAATTAAAGCAATTAAATTATTCGGAAAATAATATTCTCTAAAGCCGAAAAGTTCTTCTTTAAAACTTTTACTACTACAAAATTATACTTTTACATTACATGTCCGACATTAATAGAATATGCATTTCTACTAATCAATAATAATTAACGCAAAATTGTCCTATATAAAATCGTGAACGACGTGATAGCATCGAGACCGTTTGCTTTGATAACATGTCATTATAATCTAAATTTTGGTTGAATTAAATCTAAGTCTCGCTGTATCCCCCATAATTATCGAAAGGCTCTCACGTGTTGATCGACCGACAATTTATAGTGACTGACAAGCGACGCACTGTACCTATCGCTTAATGTCCCTCGTGCCTAACATACTGCCGTCTGCGCGTGACAGATCCATGATTTCCGATAATACCGCGGTTAAGAATCGATAATTATCCCCTTTACCACAAAACCAAGATTAAATCAGATAATCGCTTCAAGTAATAAAATTTTTGCGAACAATGTTCGGTTCTACATTCGTTTGAATTGTAATGTTGCAATCTCGATTATACTAATTTAAACGTAAGAATATGTGTTAATAACAGAAAAAGAGCTTAAGCTTCCGATGTAATTTAATCGTATATTAATAATATTTTAGAAGAACACAATGTGTAATTTATTACTATAATTATTATTGTAATTATATAATTCATTATAATTTATTATTTACACATTTAGTAAGTACACGTGTGTAAATCAAGGTCAGATATGAAGTGTAGCTGATCTATATTTTTTCTTGCCATGAACATATCGTTTCGTGATAAATAATCCATAGAAGTGGAATAAAGAGTCAAGAGCACGGTTGGTTTTCAATTCAAGCATCGGATCAATGACGGAATACAATAAGCGCGGAATAATGATGTCACGGTCCCGTCTCAATTTCTACCTATCTATTCTGAAGCGTAAGGTCTTTATAGATTTATGATTATTCTGGTTTCCGCCCACTTTTTTAATTGTTTTTTTTTCTTGTTTAATTTCATTAAAATAAAATCGCGTACACGTACGAGCACAATTTTTAACTGACAGATTTTTATGAAACCTGTGCGTAATTTGTCATATATTCCACTGACGTTCTAATACCCGTTGGAAATGTTACAATTTAAACATATCGTATGACAAGTGTAACGTTATCGATTTCTTTTTCCCGTGAAATTTATTTTAAAAACATCGAGCGAATTGTTTCAAAAAACACTCAGTGTCTCTCTGAAATGACAATAAAATATATTGTATCTCCAAAGAGGAACAGTTATATTTGTTACATTGTTGCAAATTAGATCGTTTATTAATTTTCCTTTCAAACTTAATTTAACCGCGGATCGATATTTGTTACAGAATTCCATAATGTAGAATGTAAACACAATAGCGAATAATAGGACACGAACAATAACCAAAATTAACATATTCTTCGTTCAGTCTGCTTTATATTTCCTTAGCGCTTTCTTATTAACGATATTGTATGCACATTGTTACATCTATACCTACATCTGCTATCATTGTAACAGAATTGTAATTTCTAGACTAATTATTTCTACATAACTTTAGCAATTAAAGCGCATAAATCCAAAATGATTTCAACTATTGTTCCAATTTATTCAATTTTAAAAGAAATGCAAATTAACGAATAGCATTTGCTAAATTTCAAAGTGCGCCGAAGGACCTTATATACCTCCATAAAAAGCGATAGATAAGGAAACTTACCATACATTCGCCGTCTATGCACACATCCGTGCTCTCCGCGTAACATCTCGTGCCGTCCTCGACTTTATCCGCCAGCTGCACCACTATCGTCTCATCATTGTCGTACTGAAGACTATCCGTGGCATCTTGCGATGCCATCGCCTCGCTCGATGGCACTTCCTGTCGCGACCGCCTTCTAATGCCGTCCTCGAAGGTTTGCTCGCCGCGGCAGATCAAAGCGCACGGTCTGGCCGGATCATAATGGGGGTACCATTTGAGCAGTTGTCCGCTGTATGGCACATTGTTGAAGGCGGCGCATTGTGCCGCGCGAAAATCGCTCGACTTCTCGCAGGGCTGAAATCATGGAAACCGAGGAAACCCTTGTCAGAGAGACTCATTAAACGCTTCTATGTCGTTATGTTTCTGCAAGTATTCATCGCTCTTTTCTCCGTTCCTACTAGTGCATAGAGGCGAGCAAATCTGCTCTCACTCCCGCTCGTTCCCGACAGCGAGACTGGGTTCTCGAGAGTCAGATTATCGAGAGCGCTGTTATCGAGAATAGAGGCTCGGGAACGAGCGAGTCCCGATGCTCTATTAGATGGAGTGGGGGTAGATTTCGACATCCCGAAATTATTAGCGCTCCCGATAATCTGACTCTCGAGAATCCAGTCTCGCTGTCGGGAACGAGCGCGAGCGAGAGCAGATTTGCACGCCTCTACTAGTGCACTCATCGAAACTATTTCACGCAATTTTAGATTTCACTCTTGCCGTAAATAACTGGATATTTTTACGATCGGTTTCTTCTAAGCACAAATAGGACGACGGTCCTCTCTCTCCTAGCCTTCGACATTTTTAATCGTAAATATGAGATAATATTTGATTCTTTATCAGAGACCAGCTGGGAAATAACAAGTATGCAAATTGTGCCTTTCAATCTTTTTTCTCTTTCCTAAGAATTTTTTTTTAAAGAAAAAAAATGAATATATTTTCATATTTCGTGCAATAGTGATGGTATCAATACAAAAGTATTTCGTTATATGCATGGGAAATTATTATATCGAAATCATATTGCGTGGAAAACAAAGTTCCCCAATTCCACCAGCAACTAATTATAAGGTAAAATCATATTCCATTTATACTTCTCGAACTTGGCTAGAGATAGCGAATTCGAAGTGAAGGATCGACGCCCGAGAGTTACTATCGCGAAAGTGCCCGCTAATTATCGTTATAATTAACGATTCTATAGTTGGACCGCGATATCTCCGGGGCATTTCTATCGACATTTTCGCCTCCGCGAGTTTACTTCACTTTTCACAAAGTTAACGTGCAATGTAAGTTCTTCCATAGAGAAACGTTTATTATTATCTCTCCCTCCTTCAATCTTATCCATCGTATTCGTCGTGTTTTTTTTTATCGTCCACTATAAAAGAGCAAAATTTTTGAAATTTAATTCTACAACATTTTAATGACGACGCGAAATATCACATTTTACACACATGATAATTATTTTATTATATTTCTATACGAAATTATTATATATGTAAAATAATTGTATTCATTATCATTACCATTATTATCGATATGCCGTAACATAATATAATCTAATATAAGCGAAAAGTTACATCGTGTATTATAAAATACACGATATAACGTAAATATTTTACATTAAAAACTATTCAATTTTATTAATTTATACGATAGGTTATCTATGATGAGATCTATTAAATACTTTGTTAACACTATGTGTGGTGTTATCTAGCGCTTTATATACAAAAAAACTTCAAAATAAAGACGCTCTAATTAAAAGAAAATTAGAGATTCTTTGATAATAATTTATAATATTTAAAAAAAATAATCTAAATGCACAGGCATGTATATTGTGATAATTTAAATTAAAAACTATTGTGCGCATTATATAATTAATTACATAAATTAAATTAATAATTAATAATTACATAAATTTTTATTAGTTTATATAAAATGTGAATTATATAGGAGAAAATAATCATACGCTTGAACTCTCTTCGAATGAGATTAATTATGGTCAGTTATATGCAGGAAGCAAACCTTTGATATGAACAATGTCAAATCGCATTTCGCGACGTCGTTTGTGGTAATTATTCACAGCATCATACGATGCGTCAGCTCTGTCCGCGATAATTATCAAATTCGATGGAAAATATCCAGATGCAAAATATAAGCGCGAATCAGTCGATCGCGTGGTGTGGAAATTTGCACGTAGCAATATATATGACCGACTGCAGCAGTTTCGACCGAGCGACGCGGACGGCGAGGATAATGTAGCTAAACATACGCCGCTACCATTGTTAGGAACAGTGTTTGTTGTAATGAATTTGCCGGCAGCGCAGTAATTAATTAGCGCGGATCGGCCGGCCGTAGAGTTCAGTTTCAATTGGGTTGACGCATATTCTGGCTAACCTGCTGAGTTTACGTGCAACATATTGTAAGCGTTGTTGTAAGATATCTACTTATAATTAACGTCGAGAATTGTTTTCGCATTACATCGTATCACATGAATTTTTATGTTGCACTTACTAACTGTTTTTAATTCTTATTTATACGTTCCATTTTTTCCTTCTTTTTTTTCTTTTTTTTTCTTTCTATCCTCCTTTTTCGATTTAAATTTCGATCAGTGTTAATTAACTGTTCCGTAAAAGGTTTATGCATAAATTTAACTCGCCTGCATGGTCTTAATCGTAAATGTCTTTGACGTTCGCGGCACTCCAAATTCTTGTGATATGTAGGGAAATTATGCAATACAGAGACTGATAGTTTCAGGCTACTACACATTATTGCTATTACTCTCTCCCTACTATTGTTTCCTTTAGTGTTGAATACTAGTAATTCGCACGAACGTGACAATTTCGTAACTTGCTGGATTAGTTTGTCATAGAGATGATCTATAAAATAGTTTGCAGCTGCGCACCAATATTATGACACAATAATTTATGGAGATATTGTTCTTGGCAGGTTGTTGCAGAGCTACTATTATTCTTGATACGATATGACAAGTTGTGCTTGTATAAATTATTCCTGTTATAAATAAAATTATTTATACATAGAAATTTCATTTTAAATGAATATTAATTACTTAATTCAGAGATTAACAATCTTTAAAGATTTATCCAAACTGTTAATATGTTTCACATTATTTCTATAATCAAAATTTCGTTAATGATATTTGATGCTAAAGTCTATAAATATTTCATTTGCTACACTACTAAATATGCCTCGTTATGAATGTTGACATTTCGTTCGTCATGAAATTTATAGGTAATTAGTAAATCAATTAGCAAAATCCGCTATCGTGTAGTAACGTCAAAATTTACTCGTAAATTTAATTAAAAAGCATGTAGCGTTGAATTTCGTGTCAGTAATTTCCACAGCAAAAAAACCAACAGTATTATATCTTTTAAATTTTATTTTTTTGCGGGGGAACGTTGGACAGGTAATATCGTATAAGGCGGAAGTAACGTGGTCCCGTGAGCGTCCTGAATTCTTAATTTTCTATCGAATTATTCATTTATAAAAGCTTTCCCGGTATAGAATAGATAACCGAAAGAGGATAAACAGTATAGATATATTATATATGCATTATATATTTATTTATGAGAGATTGAAATGTTGCATATGCACATATTGCAAATAAATACACTTAAGTGCCTATTAATAAATTAATTTTAATTAATAATAATTAAATGTTCATAACACATTATTCTAAAAGAAATGATTATTCGTATATTATATATATATAAAACGCAAGTTGTTATATAAATAAATTTTTTCGTTCGCAAAACATATTTCCGGAGCAATATCTCTTCATCCCTTAGAACAAAACTATTTAAAATTTATAAAATAAATGAATTAATATAAATATATTAATAATATAAATAATTTTAATTGTAACTAGTTATTTCAAGTAAAATTTATGTACTTATTATATTTCAAGTTTCACAAAAAAATATTTTAATTAATCTATAATTTTTTTGCTTTGTAAATTATATTTTTGAGTCAGACATGTGAAAAATAATCGAGATTAAAATATTTAGCAAATTTTTATTCGAAGAAGTAAAAATATAAAATGGATTAATTATATAAATATATAATAAATTCATTATATAATTTATATTATATAATTTTTTAAAACACTTCTAAAAACACTTATTTGTAATAAATTATACATATGTTTTATAACTTTTTTTAGAAGAATACAAGAGCGTAAACAATTAAATTTATACTTAACAATTTTGAATTTGTTTTTGTCAAAGTAATACTGTGCGCGTAACAATAGTATTACGTTTATACGTTCTCTTTATGGATTTAGTAGAGTTCCTCTATTAAAGTACTGCTAATTACTACGAATGCGAGAAAGTTCGCAGATGCAAGATGTATTATGATTTTAAACTCGAAAAGGAAGGATTCATTAGATAATTATATGCGGTTGGCTTGTCAAAATAACATACACGAAATAGATGCAATTCTGCGAATTGCACGTCGGATACAGAGTATATTCTTCGCAGGATCGGCAACAAAGCAAAACCGAAGGAAGAAACTAGGCGAAGCGCCGAAATCTGTTGGGAACCGCGGTAACCGCAGCGCAGAGTTTGAGCGTTCCTTAACAAGGAATCTCAACTACTCATTACGCAAAAGTGTTTCTACATCCAACGCTCTTGCGCCGATAGAGATACCCATGGGGCATTCGCCAGACATTTTAGCCGATTACCAAACCCCCATGCACTCCGGAAACAAATGGATAATACCTTTCGCGCGACACCGCAGCGGCAACTTACTTTGTCCTTAAACTGACGATGCGGGGATAGACTAGGCAAAGGAGAACTGCGCGGGACTAATGTCTCAATTCTAAGTTCGAGGAAATTTGTTCCAGATATATTGATGTTTTGAACACGACTAAACAGTCGTTGACATTTCAGACTTCAAATAGTTCCAAACTAGTTTCTTCACTCGTCAATAAAATTAAAAAAAAAATTATTCTATCGCGAAATGTCTTGGGAATTAATTATCATTATCCACGCTGTGCAATATTCGCGTTTAGGCGATTGTATGACTCTCAATTATTTTGACGTACGATTTTAAAAATACAATTTATGCGTGCGATTATATAAATTTTATTATTCGATTTCTTGTGTTTACAAACTATCAGTTTATTGACGCGACATGTATAAATCGAATGCGGTATTCCGCCTATTCGCTACATCAAGTCAGTGTGTTTAATAATTCAAATATGGTGTGTTTGTGTTGTGCATGAATATTTATTAAATTATATTTATTTGAATTTTTTCTGTGCTTTTCTCTAGCATATAAAACTCGCGTGG